TGATCTGACAATAGGATTTGGATCAATACAATCCTCTATGAATGGAGTAAATCCTTTACTTTGTCTGCCTTTTATCTCAGATTCTCTTGTTACATAACTCATTAGTTTAGATACGACTTCAGGTTCTGGTGCTCCATTGTCAGCAAAACAATATCTAGAGACTATCTCCATAAAGAATGCATTGCAACGTTGACGGAATGCATTGTGAGCATCTACCACTTTCCTGTAAACAAAATGAATTGCATATACATGTACATGTACTAATAAATCAAGTTAAAATTTTGTGAAAACAAACAATGTATTTTAAACATGTTCTTTGTATACGTCATGTGGCTCATGATCTATCATGGGAACGTTGGTCATGCCTTAACTGCCAATGAGCTATGAGGAGATATCAGTATAAGTTTCAACAAATACATGTAACATTCGTTGTTGTGAGCCTAGTCATGAACAATTCATTGTCAATGACAAGTCCTTGTTCAGTTTTTAGTGACTGTCAACAGTACCAAATTATTTAAACTCATGTGACAGACATCATATAAAGTGAAGCCAGTTTATTTGTGCATTATTTATTCTATTATTCTGCCCATGACATTCATAATGTATTTCTAGCATGAAAATGACAATGAGTGATTTTGAATCAGATTCTGAAATAAATGCATATTGAGCAAAAATGCAAGGCTCGAAAAAAAAAACGAGCATCAGTCTGCCATTTTCAATCAAATCTGGGGAAAAAATGAAGTGTATCAAGGATCCATCATGTTTAATGAACACAACAAGTTGAATGAAATACATGTATGTCCATGCACGATTGAGATGCAGTTCTGGATGGCAGAAATTTTTATGTATTTTTAGCACTAAAATGGCCATCATTTGGCAATCTTGAATTGGATCATGGAACAAATTCATCTACATAATATGTGTGTGTGAAGTTTGAATAAAATTGGCCACATTTACATCGTGATAAAATATGCATCTCCACATTTTTTTTTGTGGTCATACATGTACTTATGTGCCTGATGATTCACACATGAAGAACAATTAGTTCTAGAGCAAATGCCCTGTTTAAATAACATATGACCATTGGAGCTAGATGTACATTTTTTCAATTATGAAGGAAGTATCTAGAATAGAATAGAATAGAATAGAATAGAATAGAATAGAATAGAATAGAATAGAATAGAATAGAATAGAATAGAATAGAATAGAATAGAAGAGCCCTTTCAAGTATTGATTTTTTTGGTTCAAGACGTATAATAAAATGCAACACAGCATGTAATAATGAAATATAAACTTCATATAACTTACTTGCATTTTTCAGAACTCTCTAATCTGTATTGTTTTGGTAACTCTGCTCTACAACGTGGACAAGTTCTAGTTTCTTTAACCCTGAAAAGATCCTTCAGACACTTCAAACAAAAGACATGATCACAAGGCAATGCCACAGGTTCATTTATTGCTTCAAGGCAGATACCACAATCTTGGACACCATATCTGTTGAAGAATACAATACACAATGTGAAAGTTGATAAAAATAAGTGATATTAAAAATGATACAGTTGCTCTATAAAACTACATCAACAGATGATATATTCATCAAACTGAAACACATATTCTGTGTGACAAACAGATGGACAGAGCAACCACAATGGGTCCCAACTGTGCACAGCATGCTGCAGAAAAAAAATATGTTGTCAATGAAAAATGAGATGAAAAAATATGTTGTAAAGTGAAAAATAACATATAATTCAAAAAAAGAAGCACTCTAACTTACTTGAAATGAACTTTACTCGCTGTCTCATTGCATTTCCTGAGAAAGTTCTCTATCGTTGTGACACTCTGCACAGATTTCAAGTTAACACCTACTCCCAATGCCTAGATAGAACCACAGTTATCATTTTGTCATCATCAAACGCATTAAATGTAATAATGTTATCAAATGGGATGCAGAGATGCCAACTTTTACCTTTAACAAATAGTAATGATTAAAATTTAGGACTGCAAGTTAATTCTCAGCTCTATAGAACTAAATATCAAAAACCATACAAGCTAAAAGATATACATGTATCTTATTTTCCAATGAAATTTTCATTATGCAGTTAACTGTCCTTCATTTTTAGATCATGATTGAAAGTCAGGACTATATAATAGCAAATTAAATTGACTGCAAGGAATAAAATATGATTGGTTGCAATCTGACGTCTTAGATTATCACACGGCGTGCAATTGATTTCTGTTTATATGTAAGGTGACTGATTACGGCTATGATTTTTGACGTATAAAAGATTATTTAAACTGCGATTATTAAACGATTATTTTCTATGATGCATCTACCGATAAAATTGTAATAATTATTCTCTTTATCATAATAGTGTAATCTAGTCCTCAATTTTGTAATAAATAAGCTGAAATTGTAATGGTTGCCATCACTGGGGTTGGGTAGATTAAAACATCAATGAAAAGACCAAACTAAAGTCACATGACAGGAATGTGGTTTCTTCATCACGAACAATGTCATGGAAACTGCATATACATGTGGCAATGTAGAATTTCTGTTAGAGCTACAGTAAATCAGTGAAATCTTTACTGATACAACATCAGTCATGATGTGAGAAAAAATTTGTAGTAGTAAAAACAAGTCATTGAAAGTTCTCTTTTTGCTCGTCATATTAAAGCGGAGGGGTTGTCGCGAGTGTGTCCTTGAAACTTGAGTTCCAAGTGGCGTATACAACAGATTGTTTTATTTACATCAAAACGAGTGTTCCGTGTAGTAGTAATATGGCCAAAAATAAAAACAGCACTTATTCGGCCATCTTTGATCTGATTATGAAACACACTGATATGTATGATGTATGTGCCAAATACGAATGAAAATGATACATAAATTGTGGAAATATAGTAGTAAGGCCAAAAAGTCAGATGGCTGTCAATCGGCCATCCTTGACCAGATTTTGAAACAAATTGTCATGAACATGCATCCTAACATGTATTAAGTATATGTATGTGCCAAATTTGAATGAAAACTGACAGAGCACGTACGTCCAAGATACCGTCTAAAATAAAAAACAAGATGCCTGCCAGTCGACCATCTTTGATCCAATTGCGAAATAAATGTATCCTAACATGTATAATCTATGTACCAAGTTTGAATGAAAACTGACAAAGCATGTCCAAAATACAACATTTTCAAAAAACAAGATGGCTGCCAGTCGGCCATTTTGAATCGAATAACTAAACCACTGCAAATGCATATGTTTCACATAAAGTACTAGGCACATGCAAAGAATGAACGGAATCAGTCCACAGGATTCTGAAATATGACTCTGGACAGACTGACGCACAGACGGACGGATGGACAGAATCAAGAACTCATGGACGGTCAGGACATGTATCCTAACATGTATGATCTATGTACTAAATTTGAATGAAAACTGACAAAGCATGTCCAAAATACGACATTTTCAAAAAACAAGATGGCTGCCAGTCGACCATCTTTGATCCAATTGTGAAATAAATCATCATGGACATGTACATGTATCCAAACATGTATAATCTATGTACCAAGTTTGAATGAAAACTGAGAAAGCATGTCCAAAACACAACATTTTCAAAAAACAAGACGGCTGCCAGTCGGCCATTTTGAATCAAATCGCTAAACCACTGCATGTGCATATGTTCCACATAAAGTACAAGGCACATGCAAAGAATGAACAGAATCGGTCCACAAGATTCTGAAATATGACTCTGGATAGACTGACGCACGGACGGACAGACTCAGGAACTCACGAACGGTCGGGACATGTATCCTAACATGTATGATCTATGTACTAAATTTGAATGAAAACTGACAAAGCATGTCCAAAATACGACATTTTCAAAAAAACAAGATGGCTGCCAGTCGGCCATTTTGAATCGAATCGCTAAACCACTGCATGTGCATATGTCCCACTTAAAGTACTAGACACATGCAAAGAATGAACGTAATCCGTCCAAGGGATTCTGAGATATGACTCCGGACGGACGCATGGACAGAGACCGAATTATAAGTCCCCGTTTTCGAACTTCGTTCGAACGGGAACTAATAAAGTAGTCAAGATTGGTCTTCACACTTTACCACAAAACATACCTTCATCAGACGATAACAATGCTTAATGTTCTCATCTCCAACCTTTGTCTTAGGTGGACAAACATGTTCTACAAATAACTTCAAGACACAAAGACGAACCCATAGTGGTCTGCAAATCAGGAATAGAAAAGATTATACGTCATATTTGTATACTGGTACAAACAAAATTAAAACAAGAAATTAGTATGAATGATTAACATAAAACAAGCAGCCTATCGGCTGAGATAGCTCCGCTGTTAGCAATG